TCACTGAGCAACCATGCACCAATATAGATATATTGGTTTGGATTCTAAATACACTGCTCAAAAAAATTAAAGAAACATTTTTTAATCAGAGAATAGTATGAAGTCAATTAAACTCCTGGGATATTGATCTGGTCAGTTAAGTAGTAGAGTAGGCTGTTAATCAGTTTTAGGTGCTTTGGTCAGGGATGTTGAATTTGTATCGCCCGACACATGTAGTTCCGGGCACCGGGCAGGTAGTTTTTTTCAATTCCCTCCCACTCATCTCAATCTGATCTCTAGGAAAAAAAAAAAAAGAAATCGCCCTTTTTGACCTAAATGTTTTTTTTAACTGACCTTAAAGCAGTCCCCGTTGAGAGATTCCCGGCAATGGAGGCTGGGAAAGAATGTAATGCGGTGTGCACTGCACTACATTCAGTGGAGCAGAGGGGAGACATCCAGGGTCTTTTTTGCCACTGCCAGAAGGTTTGTTGTGTCTACCATCAAACTCTCAAGAGCATGGAGGAGATTTCAGGAGACAGGCAGTTACTCTAGGAGAGCTGGACAGGGCCATAGAAGGTCCTTAACCCATCAGCGGGACCGGTATCTGCTCCTTTGTGCAAGGAGGAACAGGATGAGCACTGCCAGAGCCCTACAAAATGACTTCCAGAAGGCCACTGGTGTGAATGTCTCTGACCAATCAGAAAAAGACTTTGTGAGGGTGGCCTGAGGGCCTGACATCCTCTAGTGGGCCCTGTGCTCATTGCCGGGCACTATAGAACTTGATTGGCATTTGCCATTGAACACCAGAATTGGCAGGTCCACCACTGGTGCCCTGTGCTTTTCACAGATGAGAGCAGGTTCACCTTGACCACGTGACAGATGTGAAAGGGTTTTCAGAGTGACCATTTTGGTGGTGGGTCAGTGATGGTCTGGTGAGGCATATCCATGGAGGGACGCACAGACCTCTACAGGCTAGATAATGGCACCTTGACTGCCATTAGGTATCGGGATGAAATCCTGTGATCCATTGTCAGGCCCTATGCTGATGCCGTGGGTCCTGGGTTCCTCCTGGGGACAATGTCTGGCTTCATGTGGTGAGAGTATGCAGGCAGTTCCTGGAGGATGAAGGAATTGATACCATTGAACGGCCCCCACGCTCACCTAACCTAAATCCAATAGAAAACCTCTGGAATATCATGTTTCGGTCCATCCAACACCGCCAGGTTGCATTTCAGACTGTCCAGGAGCTCAGTAATCCTGGGTCAGATCTGGGAGGAAATACCCTTGGACACCATCTGTCGTTTCATTAGGAACATGCCTCCACATTGTCAGGCATGCATACAAGCATGTGGGGGCCATACAAACTACTGAGTACCATTTGGAGATCTGATGTGTTTTCAAAGTGTTCCTTTAATTTTTTTGAGCAGTGTAGTATATCCTTGAATCCTGAAGAGCTAGTCCTCCTTTGGTGTTCAATAGTTGCAGGGTAGGTGAAAGTTCCAGTGTGGAAAAATTTCAGATCCTAACATACACTATAATGCCAAAAGTATTGGGCCACCTGCCTTTCCACGCAAATGAACTTTAATGGCATCCCAGTCTTAGTCCGTAGGGTTCAATATTGAGTTGGCCCACCCTTTGAAGCTATAACAGCTTCAATTCTCCTGGGAACGTTGTTCACAAGGTTTACGAGTGTGTCTACGGGAATATTTGACCATTCTTCCAGAAGCGCATTTGTGAGGTCAGGAACGGATGTCGGACAAGAAGGCCTGGCTCGCAGTCTCCACTCTAATTCATCCCAAAGGTGTTGTATCCAATTGAGGTCAGGACCAGTGTAGGCCAGTCAAGTTCCTCTACCCCCAAACTCGCTCATCCATGTCTTTATGGACCTTGCTTTGTGCACTGGTGCACAGGAAAGGGCCATGCCCAAACTGTTCCCACAAAATTGGGATCATGAAATTGTCCAAAATGTCTTGGTATGCTGACGCCTTAAGAGTTCCCTTCACTGGAACTAAGGGGCCAAGTGTAAGCCCTGAAAAACAACCCCACACCATAATCCCCCCTCCACCAAACTTTACGCTTGGCTCAATGCAGTCAGACAAGTACCGTTCTCCCGGCAACTGCCAAACCCAGACATGTCCATAGGATTGCCAGACAGAGAAGCATGATTAATCACTCCAGAGAACACGTCTCCACTGCTCTAGAGCCTAGCAGCGGTGTGCTTTACACCACTGCATCTGGCGATTTGCATTGCTCTGGGTGATGTAAGGCTTGGATGCAGCTGTTTGGCCATGGAAACCCATTCCATGAAGCTCTCTACGCACTGTTGTGCTAATCTGAAGGCCACACGAAGTTTGGAGGTCTTTAGCTATTGACTCTGCAAACAGTTGGCAACTTCTGCACACTGTGCGCTTCAGCATGCGCTGACCCCGCTCTGTCATTTTACGTGGCCTACCACTTGGTGGCTGGGTTGCTGTTGTTCTCAGTGCTTAAACTTTGTTATAATACCACTAACAGTTCACCATGGTATATTTAGTAGTAAGGAAATTTCACGGATGGACTTACTGCAGAAGTGGCAACCAACACTGGAATTCACTGAGCTACTGAGAGCAACCCATTCTTTCACAAATGTTTGTAGAAGCAGTCTGCATGCGTAGGTGTTTGATTTTATAAACCTGTGGACATGGAGGTAATTGGAACACCTGAATCCAATGATTTTGAGTGCCCCAATACATTTGGCAATATAGTGTATGTCTGTAAAGGGAATGAGTACACTATCTCACTACAGTTTTTCTGGGAGACCAAACCAGGACTGTCCTGGAGGAGGATAAGGTGGCAAAACTGTCATAGCAATCAGCTTGGCTCTATTTCCATAATCCTCTGTTTCTGGGAATATGACACTGTGTAACCACATGACTGCTCTGGTGGAGTCAAAAGCTGATAAAACCTCACAGTGGCCTCCTCCACATTATTTCTGGGAATCACAGCCAATGTATACTTTATATATATGTGTAGATTAATATATCTGACCTTACAGTCACATTCACAAAGTATTACATGACTGATTACAGAAAACAGCATGACAAATCATGGTGCAGTAATTTAGAACACTATATACCACTCGCTGCGCCACTGAATTCCTACATGAACATAAATTCAATTAGCGCAGCCTGAGTGAAAGAATCTGCATGTTAATGTTTAATGGCGCGCGGGTGAAGACAGCTGTTTGTTTTCGCCTGGAGAACACGGGATAATAAAATAATAATGAGGAAGGCCTGTGTCCCTATCTGTAAAATCCCCTCTTCATATAAGAGCGTTAATCCGACATAACAAGCTTGTATCAGTACGATAATGAGATTTTCTGCATATTCTCCCATCTCTGCCGCACCTCGATCACTGCAATTCAAACATTATATTAGGTGAAGTGGGGATTTGAGGCTGACTGCAGGAAAATACAGGTACAGATCTGTGGATAGTTTCAAAATCTCCAGGAAGATTTACAGGCTTTGGGTTTTTTTTTTTTTTGTTGAGGACAGTGAAAACCCAAAAAAGCCACAATCCTTAGCTTTTAGTGGTGGTGTCTTTCTTTGCCAATTTGCAATCCTCATACACTTATAACAAGCAGCTAGGAGAGCTATTAATGCAAAAGTGTATCTTCTCTTGAAGTGTATGCCTTGCTAATTTTGTTTTTCAATTTTGGGAACAGTGGGGATGTGTTAGAAGCCCTGTAAGTTTTTTTAAAATTAAATTCTATCTGGGGCTCTTTTAGAGCGATATGCACTCACTTCCTGTTATGTCCTGTCCTGCTGACATTTACCAGACAGGAAGTGAGAGAAACTCTCCAACAACACAGACAGAAATAAAAATGTTTTTCTTAGTGCCAACATGGCAGCATACATGTGGTAGTATGCTGCCATGGATTGGCCTCAAGAAAGGAAAATTACAAGGTAAGTATAACATTTTCTGTTTTATTGGCAACAATATGGTAGCATACTACCGTATGTATTTCACCATGATATGGTGCCAGGAAAGGCAAATTATGAGATTAGTATGATACAGTTTTTCAATGATTTTGTTTAGTAGAGTAAGGGAAGTCTAGATCGCCTATCAGTGTTTTCTTTCTGTCAGTTGCATTCCTCATTTTCTGGCATTAAAGGAAGTGAGGGTAAATCCTTTTCCACGATATCCAAAACTATAAAAAATGTTTTTGGCTTGACATACAGTTTAGATGTTGAGGGGGTCATTCAACTTAAAACCAAAGATTCAGCTATGGATAGGTTCTTGTGACCCAAAGTCTTTGCTGTTCTCTAACATCATTCATGGATTTCAGTATGCTCACCCACCTGCTATTTGCAGCTCACTCCTCTTGCTGTATGTTTCATAATATAAGATAAAATGGAAGGGAAGGTAAGCGAAGAGTAGGTGAAATTTTTCCGTTTTTAAATAATTCATTAGGAAAAGTGAAATTTGTGTTTTTGATGTTTTTTATTGGTGCCTAGACACGTTCTTGTGCCGAAAATGGATTCTCGTTAACCTCAATATTCACAGAAAGAGAAAATCAAACATGGAAAAAAAAAAAATCAGGCAACAGTACAAATAATCCAAAACACACACAAAATCATTATCATAGCTAGTCAATTTAGCTAAAAATCATTCTGCTCATCCCTCATAAGGGAACAGCAAATATGGAGTGCTATCCATGGGTCGATTTAAAGTATAACAATTTTTTTTTTTCCTTTTGGATAGAATAGATAAAGATTAGAACCCATGTCAGGTTTTTATTGCTGTCTGTGCCTCCCCCCCCCTTTCCCGGTAGGGAGACTCACCCTAGTTTTTGTTATACAATTTTGTAAATAAGTGATTTTTCTCCTTCTCTGACGTGCGCTAATGAGGCTGCAGTGATGGGCACTGATAGGCTGCACTGATGGACACTGATAGGTGGCACTGAGGAGGCACTGGTAGGTTGTACTGATGGGCATTGACAGGCATCACTGATGGGCTAAAAAGGCAGCACTAATACATGACACCGATAGGCGGCACTGACTGGCACTGATGCGCACTGATAGGCGACACTGACTGGCACTGATGGGTGACATTGAAAGGCACCTCAGATGGGCACTGATATGTGGCATTGATGTGCACTGGTATGCACTGATATGTGGCATTGATATAGCACTGATGGGCACTGGCACGTAGCACTGATGGGCACTGGCACATGGCACTGATGAGCACTGACAGGTGGCACTTCTGGGGCCACACTGATCATCAGTGCCCTGATGATCAGTGTACATGTCCTCTCTGCGGAAAGCCGATTACCGGCTCTCCTCTCCTCTGGAGCTGTCAGCATGACAGTTCGCGAGGAGAGAAATGTCGATAACCAGCATTTCCGTGTTTACATGTGATCAGCTGTGATTGGACACAGCTGATCACATGACTGAGCCGACATCTTCGGCTCTTTCCGTGATCCGCTGTGTCCGAGGGACACAGCGCACCGGCGATCACCACGCTGCGCGCTGCCTGAGCTGTGCATGCGCAGTGAGAATGGTAGGACGTCATATGACGTCCTATCAGAACGAGAGAACCACCTTGCCCCGTCATTGTACTATAGGGCGGGCGGAAGGTGGTTAAAGCGGAGTTCCACTAACGCTACAAAAACTGTAGCTGCTGACTTTTAAAAACAGCCACTTACCTGTTCCTCGGTCCCGCAGTGCGTTCCCTGCAGCCCGTTTCACTGGCCGTCCTGTATTCCAGGAGGCTGGCATCTTCAGTGTAGGCACTGGCTGTGATAGCATGCGGCTTCACAGTCGGGTACCCACTGTGCATGCCAAGTAGTGCTGTGCTTCATGAATGGTCCTGTAGTCTTCTGGGACCTGTCACATGTCCTAAAAGACTATAGGGAGGGAGGACACCTTCTGCTTCTGATTGCCTAGGCCAGGGGTAGGCAACCTGAGAGCCGCAGGACTAGATGTTCCATCATGCCTCTGCAAGTCATAGCAGTAACTGTCAGTTTTGTAATCTTTGCAATGCCTCATGGGAAATGTAGTTCCACAACAGCTAGGGAGCCACAGGTTGCCTACCCCTGGCCTAGGTGATCGGACCGGAAGTGGGAGTGGGTACCCATTCCCCCCCGCCCCCAAAGGTGCCAATCCTTAATGGAGAGCGGGGGAGCAGTCCTTAAAGCGGAACTTCCCCTTATACAACATTCCCAAACCTTCTATTTGCACTTTCCCATGCAACACTACATAATTCACAGACAAAAGAATATCAATGGGGGTTTAATGCGCTTTCTGTTCGCAAATTTTTTTCATCGCACATGAATCATAAACATGGCCTCCTTTTCTATCCTCACCCTTGCTTACGCACACATACGTTAACCCTTTTTTTGACTGGCAAATCTTACATGGGTAATCTTGTAACATTCACCACTTTATAAATACAGTGAATATTCCGATAGAAACAATTCACACTGAAGAACTTTAAAATATCTAAGGTGGTAAAAGTTAGTGAATCTTTTTTGAAACAGGTGACAGTTTTGATGAATAATGGTAAATGTTTCATAAATTGGGGAAACCAGTTAGTGAACACAGACAGTGACCTTTATGAATCTGCCCAATAGCCAAAGCAGTAGACAACTCTACAGCCATATTTTGCAAACTTAACTATGAAGGTGCACCCTGGACTCTGAATAGTTGTCTGCTGCCATCTTGTGACTGTGTAGGACCACTACAGGTGTATTTCCACATCTCCCTACCCTTCAGGCAAAGAAAAACCTTTAGCTTTCTTATGTACAGCTTTTTATTTTCTCCATTCAATCACTGTCATTACCTGTTGGGTGACTTTGTGTAGTACTGACAAACGTCAAGCTGTTTCACAGAATTCTCATCATTGTGGAGTAAGGGGTAGGGACAAAAGCTACTGTAGGAAAATCCCATCATTGAGGAAGAGGCAGTGACACCAACTACTGCAGGAAAATTCCCCTCGTGAGATGGGAAAAGCAGAAACTATTGCAGGGAAATGTCATAAATGTGGGAGGGGCAGAGATACAAACTACTACAGGAAAATCTCATCAATGTGGGAGGGGGGGAAAAGACACAAACTACACAGAAAATTCTTGTGGGAGGAGCAAAAAACACCAACTAGCGCAGGGAAATGTCACCACTGTGAGAGAGAGAGAGAGAGAGAGAGACACAATCCTCTGCAGGGAATTCTCACCACTGGTTTTCTCAGAAGTCAAATATTTAAAAAAAAAAAAAAAAAAAAACTATGTAAGAGCAAGCGTGCAAAATTCTGCACATCACATAAAAAATACTTAAAACCAATACTGCAATAGCAGCTCAAAATATTAGCTGATTGCCAATACACTGTGGTGATGATTGATTGATGTATGGGTAATTACTTATAATTCGTGCAATTGAATATTAAATCAAAGAGTCTAACTTCATGAACTGATACCCCATATGGTTATATTGCATTTGGAATTTACATTTGCTGCGGACAACACAAATCCAATATAGTACACTGACTTTGACTTTCCTAATCCACAAATTCATTTTTTGTGACAATTCTAAATTGCAGCTCAGTTATTTCCGCAGCCACTGCCAGGCAGGTTTAATATCTTCACGCTGAGTGCACCTCCTCAGTAACCCTGCATAATGACTTATAGCAGCCTGTGAGCTTATCTTCCATTCCTTACAAAATAATTACACACAGGCAGTTGGTTGCCATGAGAACGAGCTATTAATGCGCTCAATCTGAATTTAGCGAATTATTAATTTGCTTATTTTTATTGTGCAGACTGGCAACCGTAATCTGCTGCCTGGGAATGGCAAGCACATAAAACCGCATTTAAAGTATTTTTTAAACAGCTAATACTCTCAAGTGTATGTTTCATTTGTATGCAAATTTAAAATGGTAAAAATTGCAACCTTGCGTCTTTTCTGGGTGGCAGGAGATGGCGGTAAGATCAGATAAAACATATGCTAATCTATATATGTAAGAAAGAGAAAACTCCTGTCCAGATGTACAGCTACCTGGAATTGCAGGGGTTCTGTATCTGTGCTGCAAAGATAAGGATTACAATATCATCAGTGAAAGACAATTTAGTCCAAGTATTGCTAGCATGTACAGGAGTAAAGAGATGAATGATAACAAGCGTGCCTGCACAATATATAGAATCTGTGCCCTCACTAGCATTCTGGAATACTAGCACCACAACTCCCAACACCTTACAATGAAATGTAGGAACATATTAAATGTCAGCTTCGTTAAAATGTATATAACACACACACAGAAATACTACAAAAGCCATTCGTTCATTTAAAGCTGAACTCCATGAAAATAGCTGAAGAGACACTTGAAATGCAAATATGTGATCTGTCCTACTTGTAAAAGGACTTGTATTTTTGTCCATCCAACCCTGAGATTTACAGACCTCTGCACACAGCACAGCAGATTGGTGACCTGACTTTAGTCAACCAACACAGCTAAGTCACATCCCTCCCCTCAGCCAGTGACTGGTCAGTGAAGAAACAGAAACATACTGTCAGGAATGGACTTGCCAGTAATGGTGGGACTCACCTGCCTTGTGGGCTGCAGTACCAGGGCTGGCCAGCGGGTGCTCTCAGAAATCAGAGACTCAACCCTGCAGCCAGCTAAACACCTGAAGCTGATTATGCAGGTGTATTTAAGGGATGGCCAGACCTGCAGTCTGTGCCTTGGTGTGTGTTTTTCCTGGGCCCCTGTATCTTGTTACCTGCATCCCTGTCCCTGTCTGACTGATTCGTTGCTGACCCTGCCTGATCCGGACCTCTGCTGACTTCTCCTGTTTGATCCCTGGCTTGTGACCCCGACCATTCTCTGCCTGACCCCCTGTACCTACCTGCCCGTTAGTTGCTGTACCCGGCTCGTGACCTGACTACTCTCTGCCTGCTCCTCCTGTTCCCACCTGCCCGATTGTTATTGACCCGGCCTGCCTGACGACGCTTGCATTGTATGTATGTTTATCTGTGGGTGGTTTGATTTGGTTCGTTTGCACTGTGTTATGTTTTAGTATTGCACTGCGTTTATGTATTGTTAGTGTTAATAAATTATATTGTTTATAACATATCTGAAGCCTGCGTTTCCCTTCGTCAGTTCACATACCTCTGGTCATACCCTGGAGCCCTGACACATACTGTTAAAGCTATCCTGCTCTCTCCTCCTGTCAGCATTTCTTGTCAGCACATGCAAATACAGGACACCTGACAAATAAGGGTTGCTGTACAGGGGGGTGACAAGAGGCAAAAATCAAATGAGATTCAGCCATTTCTCTCAGTTGGAGTCAAATTATATTGTTGTATGAGTACATATTTACATGCATACATATAAAGTACATACATAATTATCTATATTAATACATATTTATATTGATTGATGTTTTTAATGTCTGCCTAGAGTTCAGCTTTAATCTTTTTAAAACTCCCGCCTCCATTTTTATATGTAACTAGTTATGATTTTGTACATTTTGTTTTAAAAAAAATTTGCAACAACATCAGCACTACCTAAAGTAGAATTTCCCAGACTCCCCATTCCACTGCATTTACTTGGTCTTCTAGATGTTTGCAGTGAGTAGGAGTTCAAATTACAGGCAGCCTACTGTATGGGGTATAGCCTCCATAACAATGTTCTTACGTTTACTGTACTGGACAGCTTCATAATCCCCTATGTAGTGCAATAGTTGGGGGTAAAGGCTGATTGCATAAATGGATAAGTAATGATATTGAATTTGAATCTGACAATACCACCCCCAACTTGCATGCTTGATGATGATGACTTAAAAAAAACGACCAATGCAAATTGGGCACACTGACCCAAAATGATGTAAGATTAGAGCTGCGTTTTTCAATCGAGGTGCCGCGGCACCCTGGGGTGCTGCCAAAAGCTCTCAGGGATACAGTGGCAAAAGGACAAACCACTCGCCATATGCTAACACCTGTAATACAGAGCAGAGTGAGAGCATACCGCATCTCCTCTATGCACTCTCCTCCTTTCTTCTTCAATCTGTACTCCTGTGGGCAAATCTGAATGTTTTGTGGGCTGCACCATCTACGTCCTATCAATTGATGCTGTAATCGGTTGCTAATGACAGGTCAAATGGCCCCCCCAGCATTCTGGGCTGTGGATAGAAGTACAGATAGAAGTAAAAAGGAGGAGAGAGCAGGTGAGGAGGTGTGGGGTTACAGGAGTTAACACAGAATGCGAATAGATTGAAGTTTACAGATTTCATTGACATCCCTATCTCTTCCCCAAACTGCTAGGGAGGTGTGGGGTAGACAGCACAGCCCACACCTCCTCCTCTGTGCTGCTTTGCGCTAGGAGGGGTATTTGGAGGGGGGAAGCATTTGTGCTAGCGGGGGGGTTTTGACAGGAGAGGGGATTGGTGTGGGGAGGAGAGGGATTTATGCTAGGAGAGGTGTAAGGAAATATGTCTTATTAACTGGCATCCATTTTGTATAATGCCTAC